GAGGTGATGTGGTGAGGTCGGCTCGTTGCGTACTGCACTGTGAACCGCCTGACCAGAGTGCTGAAATTGTCGATCGAATCAGCGGGAAGCTGGGTGCACCAAATGAGTGCGGCCCCCTTGAGCGAGGTCGGAAAAACCCTACACAATATAGCATCATTGTTAGTGTGGAGGTTTACCTGTGTCGTATAGAGGTCGATGTGCTCATCGGGGTCCATCGTGCCATCGTAGCGATCGAGGTGGAGAGGCTTCCACCCCCAAGGGGGGGGGGTCTCCATGATGCCATCCACAAAGGGATGACGGCGAAAAGTTGCTTGACCCCCAGTGATATGTGTTGGGGCCGTGCTGACTTCATGGGCCGACCTGTTCGTCGGTACATGAGACTGATGTGTGGCAGGCCTGGTGGTTGGTGCCCTAGTCGCTGTTCGGGGCTGAGAGACCGAGTGTCCTTCTTCCTCGTGGAGGTTGCTCGCCTCAGGAGGATGATCAGAGGGGCGTCGAGGGAGTTGGGCGCGAATCCGCTCGTTTTCAGCGCGTAGCGCCGCTAGATCAGCTTCATCGGCGGTCTGCATCGCCGCTAGGTCAGTTTCGTGCTGGGCACGCATGTTTCACAGATCAGCGTGGTGTTGCTGCTGCATCTGTTCGACCTGGTCGATCAGTCTCCTCAACGAGGATTCGTTGTCCTTGGTAGTTGAGTGATTTGCGTCGTCTGTTGCGCGTCTACTATGGCTTCTGGTGAATACCATAAGCGTGGCCGATAAGAGCTGTCTTGATTGGCCCCACGGTGGGCGCCAAATGTTCTTACCGGGAATTCGAGGTAGGGATGATCTGCCGAGTAAGATTGGTGAGTCTCCTTCGCTGGTACGTTGGTGTTCCAAGATGGGGGTGGTACCTACAAAAGAGACTCCGATGCTAAAGTTAGGGTTTGTATGAGTGTATGTCTCGTATAAGTAATGCACGTACCTTAGTGTGGGTTGGGGTTGCGTTGGGCCTTGGGCCTGAGATCAGTTGTGATCTAATTGGATAGCGGATCTCATCTGGACCGAGATCTCCTCAGATCAGTTATGATCTGGTTAAGTGACGAGCTGACGTCACGTAGCGTGTATCCGAGGTCGTCATGCGCTGCGATGCCGAGCTGGGAGCTCGGCCTTGCAATACGGATAGTA